CTAATATTTTCATGGTCATCCGAGATTCCTAGACAGATACATCGTAAAATTCATTTTCCGACAGTTTTTTTACTATTGGTACTTTCCAGGGAACACATAATAGTTAGCGTAGTTTCATTTTCGAAATAGGGCCATTTTGCCTACACATGAAAGCTCGTGGTTTCTGGAGACATGCCTCGGAGGTGAAGCACAACGTCAAACGCTTCTCACCAAGCTTCAAACCAGACCACTGTGTTAGCTGATGGGATGAAACTTCTCTCTCTGAGTTAAGCATTTTCTCAGATCGATAACCTAAGAAAATATCTGACACGCGCTGACGTCGTTTGCTAAAATTTTCTTATGGTGAGCAGGTAGATCGTTATAGGCGTAATGGGTGTAACATAATAGATGCATTTAGAAAAATACGTAGCCCTTCATCGTCATCATGAACAACATCATAACCGTCGCTATCACCATAACTGTTATCATCATCAATATCTTTAGTTGTAAAAACGGCGTAAATTCCATGTATCCATTATATCTGCCACATTGCTTTTTGCCGATGACCTGGGAGACTAAGGGTGGGCAGCTACGTATTGGAGGCAACAGATAATATAAGTGACATACGAATCCAGGAGTGACAGTGGACTTTGCACTTTGGAAATTTGGTTGTCCGAAAAGGGCTCTCCGAGATATTTGGTCTGCTGGCTTGCGAAGCCAGTCAGCGCAATCTACGGAGTTTATCGGTTCATCTATCGTGGACGAGTTGTTTTCACTGAAAAAAGTTCAGTGTACTTTACGCTTATTGATCCACCAGACTCGGACAATATTCCGAAGACGTCGATGCTCAACTACTGAAGGTTCTTCAACGTCTTCAGCTCGCAGCACCCAGATTTCTGAACCACTTAGCGATGTGGAGTGCACAGCAGCTTTGTAAGCTCCACCATTTACGTAGAAGTTGAAGTCTTGTTCAAGCCACGGTGTTATAGATTCACAAAGCCGCCTCATTCTTTCCAATTCGCATGAAAATATTGTCTTTGGCTAGACCACCACGGCTGGTACTGCTGCCCACGAACAGCTTATTCACAAGCATCAAATTCAGGTTCGAGCTCACGGTGTTGCACTATGCAGGTACCTTAAGGCAGCACTAGCTGTATTGCGTAATATCGTTTACATTAAAATGACCTCTGCTCCAAAAAGAGCTATGTCACCTGTGTACCTGATATATATGTATTGGAGAAATCGGACCGACAACACCGCTAGCATAGCTCCTGTCACATTTTAATATGCTTCATCCACGTGCTCGCTAACAGTGTAACGGTGATACTACTGATGTAGAAACACGCGAGTAGTATGTGCTGTTCGTGGAATTTCAGTTTCCGTTTTTTGAAAAGGAGAGATCTGTTGCGGAATTTGTGGAGTCGCTTTATAACATCTGCTTGGATGTAGCGAGGAATGATTGGAGTCAATGAATCTCCAGGAAAAATCAAGAAGAGGCGTTCAGAAGAAGATGGATATCTAATTTTTGTAAATAAGATGCAAAGTAGAGTTTTGCTTCTCTGTCCAATGGTCTGTAACCGGCCAGTTGACATTTCCTAACAAATAACTCCGCAGCGAAAGCCTTTCTTTCAACGATAGTATTGGTTTACTATAGACTATAGATGAACAGCTCAGACCGATACTACCAAGCTATGGTAGTACTCTGAAGGTGGTGGGCCATGGTTTTTGCTGACTCCGAGTTAGGCTTGCACAATGTCATGGTCAGAATCGTTTTTTGTCCCCAGAAGGACATGAAGCCTTGAATTTTGGCTATCCGGTAGTGGCTGATAGTCAGTTAGTCCAATTGGGTCGACGGTTGATTTGCAATCAGTGGCGCCAGGTGTTTTGTCGACAATCCATGCAGGGCAGCACCCAAGTATGAAGTTGCTCTCCGCAGTCTGGCCGCTAACATGATTCCATGGAATTAGACGACTGACTTGAGCACTGATATTTCCCCGAAGGGTGATAATATCACTGCTTTTTGCTTGAAAATGGAACCCAGATAAATCTGTGTAGAAAGCATTCTTCTTAGCGTCAGAGATGTAGTCCGCCTGGACATATTCTGGCTCTAAAAATAGATGCCGATTTGACGTCTAGTAGCGCGGAGCATGATTGGGCCAGATAACCAAACGCCGCAAAGACAGCTGTTCACTGGAATCCATTCCAGCTAAGAGCGTTTAACCCCCAGGTTGGGTACGACTCCGACTCCTTATATTCCACGACTCATCGCTCCTGGATCACCAGACATACGGGGAGAAAAAACCGAAAGAGTTGAGTTTGTCTTCGGCGCTTTAGGAAGCTTGATAATACTTTTGTCTTGTATATGTAAAGAACTAAATAGTCTGAGGAAGCACTGCGTGTGCGAAATCGATGACGTGGGGCTCAGGTGTTGTCAGCGTTGTGCGGCTCCTTGTAATCTTCCCTGGGATTGTTTGACGGCATAGCAAGAAATGATGGCTAATCGACATCAGCGGCGCTCGTGCTGTCAGTTTCTTCCCGACTAGTCTGATAATTATTCGGAGGTGTAGGCAACTCAAAATTCCTGTGATTTGCTAGCAACATGTTCTTCTTTGATCCACTCTTCGAAGTTTAAATTTAATTAAATGAATTTGGTGGTCGTAGGGGCGTGTAGCATCGGCTTGAACACTAATGTCGCCGTTTCTGATGATGATGACGCTTGTTTACCATTTTAACACAAAAGATGGAGGATGAGTCTTCACGGATTCAACATGGTGCTGTTTTGTTTATTGTTATCCACATCGGTCAGATAACTGGCAATCAAATGATCCAGTGACCTCTTGTTGAGTGGGAAAGTGTTAGAGAGGGTCATCGGTGGACAAAGAACCAGGCGGTCCAGTGACACTTTCCGGCTTCTGAGGTCGAGGAAATGAGTTTGGTTTAGGTACCCAAATTTTGTCCCTCGACTCAAAGAGTCCTGAACATCACCCTACGCTTTTCACTTAAAGTTCTGACGCAGTTTCCTCGAAGGAAACTGCCCGGAACCAATGACTTCTAAATCTTACCTGCTTGACTACAGGGGCTTTCCTGGTCTGAGGGTGCTGGAAATTAGACGCATATGATGCCGCCGCGCACTGTAGATACCTTTGAAGCCGCATCAGGTTGCTGACGAGGTTTTTTGTGTTTGGCTGTGTAGGATATGTACTTGGCGATCACCATCACCGTTGAACGGTCGGAAGGTTCTTATGGCCAACGTTTTCAAATCCGTCCTTTCTGGGGGAGGCATCATTTTTGTTGTGGACATGCTAATCGCATTCACGCTCCCATCTCAGAGGACAGTACGAGTACTCGTCCGAGTTCTCGCTGCTCTGAAGCTGACTGCTCTCTTAGACCCTTCTGACATGGTTGCACCTTGTGGAACGAAGTTCCAGCCAGTGTAGCCCGTATGATCACTGCAGCACTCAAGCTTGACTACCACACTAAGATGTCAGCTTTAGACCGAGACAGTTATTTTCACACTCCAAAGAAAAAGATTCGCGTAATTTCTTCCATTGACATGGTTCTAATATGTAATTCTTAGTAAATTAGGCTAAAGATTTTTGACATGTCAATATGGCATATTGACATACAGTTTGAGAAGTATCTCAATACGTACATTGTAAATTACATGTTATTCTAATATTCGACGTTTGGTTTTTGTTCCTCACGAGGCTCTAAAGCATCTTTTCATTCGCAATTTCAAGGCCTCCCAATCAAAGCAGGTCTTCAAAATTTAGTCCCTTATGGCACATTTCCTATACCGAAGATTTCTAAGTCTTAACAGTGTTTTCCACTCTCTCGACTACAAGTGCATAGCTTCAGTTAAACAGCTCGATACTAGAATGTGCGCAGCTATAAAAAAACGTAGACTACGTAAGCCATGCACTGTCATCCAAGCGATGCACTTGAATCTAAGTTTAATTTGGATTATTGATCGATTGTTTGTTAACTCACGTTGCGGTCGAAATATCTTCGGTGAACTATGGCAAACAGTGTGTGAATGATAAGCAACTTTTATAGTGCAAACATTACGAGCTGAAGGACTTTACTGTCATCTGATGTAAGGGAGGCGTGAATGATTAAATTCAATTACTGCCAGGGAATGAATGCGCAGACATTTTGCCTTTTACGGTGTTCACGACGGCTAAATGAGCTAAAGCTTAAGATGGAGGAGGACAATGGAGATTCCAAACGCTTAGCGAATTTAAATACGATGGTCTAGCATGTATGTATAAAGAAGGAGATGAAATTTGTGAAGGTTTTTCTCTCTGCCTTATTTCAAGTGATATCACTTGTCTATAGCGCACAAGATTGGGCATATCCTAAACTGGGGAGTTCAGGTACATCTAACGTGAGAGAAGGGATACTCCTGTGGCATAAGTTTTATCAACTGAATGTCAGTTTGAGTCAATTCCATTAATCAGCTGTAAACCGGGCACCATAGGCACACTGGTTTAAGTTGCTACAGTTTCGATCCTTGGGAAGTGGGAGAATGTGAGACATACGGCCAAGCCTTCGAAGAGGTGTCATGTTTGGTTAGTTCGGGAACTGGTTAGCTGCGCATTGGAAGCGATAGCTTAGATGTACGGAATCGCACAGAATGTTTTGGAGATATTTGTAGTGTGAATGCGATTCAGCTAAGAAGGCACACAGAGAAGTGATTTTCCCAGTTGCAGATCAAAAGTGTGTCTGGCCTATTTTGAATTCCTGTGGTTACTAAAATTTCCCCTCGAAAACGTCATTCAGCTGTGTATTGTTAAAATGATTGGCCGGCGGCAGTGAAAGCGCTAGCCTGAACGCCCGCTAATTGATTTAAACGTGATTGGGTCATTTGAAGAGATGAGCACATTGGACGGCCTGCAAAGGCTAAATAATTTCCCTGACCAATCCGATATCACTACGGTGAAATGAACAGAACTGAAGAGTGCGATATTGAGAGGTTTTATAGTTTAGTCATTAATATTTTGACAGTTCTATCACATTTCAGAAGATATATGCAAGAACAATACATCCAGTGGTATCCAATTGTTTATGAAGAACTGACCAAAGAGGAAAGGGAAAGGGGATTAATCTGTGAAACCACAGAAGCCGATGGTGTGTGTTTATGGGTCAGTCAATTCTCTCCCGACTTGATCGATGCTGAACGCTCTTACGGGTATGTATCTGAAATTTCTAACTTTTAAATTTGACGTTGACAGAAGGGGCAAGTGCACAATTCCATTCAATGCTGTATTAAATGAAGAAGGAAATTCCGATGCTATCTGCAGGCTGGTTTCGCGCGAGAGAACCTATCTTATTAATGCATCCGTGTACAAAACTCAACCTCCAGGTGAGCCAGACGTACTGTTACCATATATATTTCATCAATACTTAGGACAGTTACATCCCACTTCCACAGTTTCAACGTTATTTGATCGGGCATGTATGCAGCCCGTTATCAGTTTGGCGAGTGTCCACCAGATGCAACTTTTGCAGCCATGGTTTTGTACCAGCTCTGAAGGAGTTCAGTTCTCTTCTTTTTGGCCAGTATTTTTCAAGCATTTGTGTCAGTCTTCCACATCAATCAGCTGTGCTGCCTGGGCAGACCCACTACCAAAAGTATCGATTTTGTTCAACGGACGACCATTATCATCCCTGGATGCTACGCACGGGGTAAGTACGTTACGTATTCAATGAAAGCAGTTGTTGTATCTATGTGTAACATACACCTGATGTGTCTCTAAGGCAGTTATCCTTTAAGTGAAATCCTAAAATTTTGAGATAGAGTAATATGTTGCCTTGTCCCACTTTACTTATTCGCAGGTGTGCCAAGGGGGCTTTTTAACTCGGGCTCTCAACATTCTTCAGCGATCTTGCTACCTAAGTCTGAACTTTCAGGGCATGAAAAGAAACCACCATTCATCGGTAGTTAGGAAGACTACATACATCAGTCCTTCAGTCTAGTTGAAGGAACTTTCTTGATGGCTTGTTTTAAATGATCTAACAGCCATACACCCTCGATCGCTTTATTGCACTCAAGCTTTGTAAATGGAACCTTCGAGTGATGGCATTAGCTGTTCTCTTATCAAGGTTTGGGCGCCCTCTGATCGCAGGCAACCATTGTATACACATTTCTAAAAGTGTTTAGTAACGGTGGCTCCTGTGTTGTGACATCGATCAAACTTGCTGCGTGCAGCATAGCGGCCAGACGGAAACAGGCTGTTGTTAACATATACTATCTTCCCCTAATCATATATTAACTCCGGCTCTTTAATGAACTGGTGTTGCGTGGGTCGGTCTTTGAACTTGTCACGCTTGTGTAGAAGGCTAATCACCACTCACCTTTGCGATTTCACGTGCAATTATCAAAATCTGATCATCACTTTTCATCGAAACAATTGGGGTTCAGACTCCTAAGTGAATCGATACAAGATTCAGTTATGATAGTCGTGTGATTGGCACCTCCATCATTTACATACCCCACTCTATGAACCTGAGGCCATGGTGAAGCCGGTGGCTTCGAATGCGTTCGCGGTGGCAAAGACTTTATTTCTCGTGATTGACCCTCTTTTCCTGATTAGAACTTAGTGATGCCGTACATCTGAAAGCACCGAACAAAATACTAGGGACGCTTGTTTGCAACAAATAATGGGAGCTCGAATTCGGCGAAAGATACTCTGTCAGAAACTGCAATTACAGCTAGCACAACAATTCCAGATACTCTTCTGGTTGTACAAGTAGGACTTACCACATTATTGAAGATTTAACATTGTGATAGGACCCATCTTGGTCTGGGTTAGTATTTGCATCTTTACACTGATCAAGTTTCCTTTAGTAGCTTCAAGTTGAGGTGCAGTTGATGCCTTCAGGATGTCAGGCATTCCTCTGCTGATGAACACCTATAGAGCCGTAAGCGAATGCAGAGCAACTTCACTCGCTTCCATCTTTCTAGAATACACACTTTGATCTAAATAATGCCCATGTCTGACCTTCAGAAAATTTTCCGGGAAGACTAAGAAACCAATTGCCAGATATAAAAGTTGACAGGCATATCAAAGTGGGATATGTAACGCCATAAGAACTGGAAAAGCTGAAGAAGACAATCGTAACTGAAACGATATAAACAAGTCAGCTCCTGTTGTACAGAGTTCGGCATGCGATGTTTCTGAACGTCCATCCGAGAAGCGATGGATTTTATGGCAGCCATCTTCTGTTAATTCATAATTTCTTATGTAGTATAACCCACGTAATTCAGTTGTAAAGTCTGTCAGACATCAGTACAAGCCCGGCTGGTGCGCTGCTATGGAGATTTGTTGAAATCAGAAGGTACGAAGCTTTCTTGTCGACCGTACATTTGGGATTAATGGAGAACTGCTTTATCCCATTCACAAAACAAGACCAAAGGAACTGGTTACTTGTGAAGTGACGGGAGATAGTATTTAAAAAGTTACCATACAATAGCCATCACAGTCATCATTCGACATTCGTCTCCTTACCTCTCTCTCTCTCATTAAACTCAGTTCGTGATATGCGATCTTGGACGCCTCTTTAGCTTTTGGAGTATGATTTTCTGCTTTGAACATTATCAGACTACAGAGATACGCGTGCTTACACCGGTGGACTTAGATGGCAGCGAGAGACATTGCTCTCTGTTTTGACTAGATTATTTAAAAGGCAAATTCTGGTTACTTAGTTGGAAAGAATACCTAGCGTGCGCTTTGCAGCGTTAGAGTGCACATCAACATTTGCGCATCAGTTTGCCTAAAAAATTTTGTAAAGTTGCAGAAATTTGGACTCATGTCCAAGAAAACTGGATTGGATTTTGACCAGGTGAGGGATGCGCCAAACACGTCATTACGGTGAGTCAGACGTATGAGCGTCGCCGCACACACCGGCTAGAAATAGATACTTCAACTTTTTGGGTAGACCGTCACTTCTGTGTATACTTGACGCATCCTCTCCGTGCTCTCCATTCTTTCGTATTCCTAATGGTGTAGAACGAACCACCTCAAACCTTCGATGAAGATGACAGAAGTTGACGGCGTTGCTCTCTATATTTAAGTATTTTCGATTTGATAGTTGAGGTCACAGTAGACTTCGACCTCCGAGTGATCGTAAACTTCGTTATCTAAATAGCAGCTGGAGACTTGCCAGTGTACTTGGATTGTACGTACCCAGTTCTGCTAACGATCATCAGTCGATACAAACTATCCTAAAAAGAACATCGGAAGCAGACCTCCATTTCAACCTTATCTCCGCATCTAAAAGACTCAGATTGTTAATTTAAGAGTTTCAATCCACTTTCACCATGTTATGTCTCCAGAGTGAACGGCCAGTTGTTATGCACGCTCATTTTGGAAGCCCTAGTAGCTGCGCCCGGACCGTGAGTAGTGAACCATATTGCGGAGAATGTCGTAGGCCAAAAAGCCTGTCGTTGAATTGGAAGATNATGTCGTAGGCCAAAAAGCCTGTCGTTGATTTGCTAGCTGAACTGAGAGGCTTGGTTGTGCACGTTTCACCCCGAGTCGAGGTAGCGTAATCAATGCTCTGTCATGGAGCGAAGCGTAACGCTTTGGTACAGCAAGCACACAACCACTGACACGTCGTTGCACTGCACTTCGCCACACTATTGGTGTTAGCTCGATTGGCAATGAAGCTTTTGCGAACAAACTGCCTAGCCATGCTAAAAAGACTGCTACTGGAAACCCATCGGGTGAACGTAATAGAAGAGGATGAATAATATTCGCTTGGTTGACTTTAGAAACGAGTATCACTGCGGTTTAAGAATAGTATCAAACATGAGAGCAGTTTTACTTCATGGCACCAGGGCATGGCTTCTTCAGTTAGAAGTCCAATAATATCTTCATAAGGTAGCGGTCATTAGCTGGTTGCACAGCCTACACAACAGTATCCATAGGCGAGTGTTAGGTATTGAATCGGAAGCACTGAATTGGAAGATAAAGCTTTCTGTGGGAAAGTAATCAGAACCTTGATTATGCATACTCAATTTCAGCCTGCGGAAAATGGTTGCTATCTATTCCTCCTGCTATTTACCACAGGTTTGTTTAGGAAAGACTATGACGTGACAACAACAAATGAAAGCTATCACTGTCAAGTTTAGCTCTGTGCGATCTTCTCACCTTCCTATCTAGGCCCACATGAGCTCTTTTAAGAATGGTCGAAAACCATAAACTACACTTCGCGAAATAGATCAAGTGACAGGCTTGCTGCCATTTCTTAGCTGGTCTGACGAGCCAAAGTCCATTCGTCTTTACATGATGGACTTATCGTGGGTGAATTTAGAGGTGTATGGTGGTCAGTATTCAAAATTCCGTTGATAGAAGACGTTTTGGAAACCTGGTTAGCCCCGCTGATGACGTCCCATCTCACGACGATACGCAGGTGTTTGAATTAATTGTTTTGCTTATTCAGTGGTGAACCCACCGACACATTGATGTTGTACAGGCTGCTCCCGACGCTTCCTCCTCTACGCTTTACCGAAACCTATCTTCGTCCAAGTGGGGTATCCGGTTCAGGCGTATTTACGTCCGTGACTACAGTCACCTTATGGGCACTTTGTAATGATGCCAAGGACAAAGAGCTTGTGATAAATTTAGGATTTTCTGTTTCGAAGCGATGTTTTGGGCGAAGCGTGGAAAACATAAGAAAAGAGACTTGTGCAAGGCTCTAAAGGTCAAGGTAAGAGAACTGACCCATGCAGTACAGCAGACTGAAAAATTTAGTAAAATTATTAGCCTCGTTCAATGAAATTAACTTGTCCACAAAAATGGTCTTCTTGAGTCAACGAAAGTAGAGATGGGAAAATGGATGTCTAAATAGTTTTATTGCGTTCATCCTACTTCCGTTTTGCTTATGTCTTTGAAAAGCTTTCTGACGTGACACAGGGTTTGGTTACACTATTTCCATCATTGGAATGGGTAAAAAGCTGGCCTAAAAAACAGCCCGGAAACTTTATTGCAAGATGCATCGCTCATGGGGGCACTTGATGTACAACTCAAACAACACACACAGCAGTAATTTTGCATATGAACGTTTATACTAGACAATGTCTGAATTCGTTGTAACTGCAATTTAATCTCACTAAAATTGGCGATTCATCAAAAGTTGAACATACATCCGAGAGTCGTACGCACTGACCACACGTGCTGTGTAGTTTCACGAAAGACGTGTACTAGACTGAAACATATGTTGCCCACTCCCATTCAAGAGGAATTACTTTGGTTTTCTAGTGGTAACCGCAGTGGTGTTGCACTAATTGTTGGATTCCGTATAATTTACTGGGACTGATCAACAGAAGGAGATAGGCAAGGGGTTTTTGCATATTTACTAGCATTCATCATACGTCGTCTGCTGATCGGCAAATGTGCATGTAGAAGCTGAAAAAATGTGTTATGAATAAATCTTTCTGACGTGATTGTTACAACAGACCCGTCACTTCAGTCAATTCAGTCTACCAGCTCTACCAAACGTACGTTAGTTTCGTGTACCACAGTCTAGGTCACCGAAAAATGGTCCAGCGTTGGGAATATAGCCAAACACTGAAGGCCGTGACATAGTCTGTTACTTAGAAGTGTATATTTTTCTGAAGAAACCGGAAGCTTGGAGGATTAATTATTCCAGTTGTCGAGCTTGGAAAACTGCCAGACCTGTTA